AGATGCGTTGTCAGCCTATTTGGCTTTGGATATTCGGAAATCCACAGGATGAAACCGAAACGCGATTAAACTTGACGGCTTTATCTGTGGGATGGAATTTCGGTATTCCTACGAATTTAATATCCAATTTATGTAGTTTACATAAGTTGGAAATCTGGATGGGGGGGGGGGACCACGGCTGCTGCAAAGCATAAAAAACGTTAAGGTCGGGTCGTAGGCACAATAAATTGTAAATAAGTTACCTAATATATTTCGCGTTTTAAACCGTTAAAATATTTACTTATTTATTTATTATACAAACAGAGCTAGCTACCCTTGTTATTTAAAAAATGTGGCAGCGTAAAAAATGTCTCTTTTTAATTAATTAGAGAGCGGGGAATCTTCGCGTCTTTAAAAACACTGTTGACATTTTCATCTCTACGTAACACGGTCAATTAAAACGTGAAAAACGATTCAGTGAAATCGGTCAAGTGCTTTACATTATGAAAACAAGTCTAGAATTCCAGCCTTATGATACTTAGAATATTCAGGAGTAGAAATTTCGACGTTTTGTTTCGCCTGATAAAGCTAATCGTAATTTGGCTTTCAACTACCTATACGTATATTCAACACTTGCTGACCAGACGATCTTTTGACATATGAAGATATTGCGACTAAATTAGAACATCATAAAAACGGTTCTTGTCCGTTAATATAAGATATATATCGCGGACATTTTTTGACATTATTTAAAGAATAATTCACACAAAATAATTTTTCTATTCTAACTGGTAGTGTTCAAATCGTCCAACAGGAGCGGAGACCTAATGGAAAAATGTGGATAAAACGAGAATTTTTTTATCTTTGTTGGCTTCCGGTGTGCGCTGCAAATGCTGCAAGAATTCATAAAATATGTGTGAAAGAAATATTTCTCTTTAAATGATCTACAAACATATGTGCAGCACTATATGTTTATCTTTTAAGATTAAGTCGTGGGTAACAGCCAGTAGGTATTTATAATGGTGAGTAGTTTTGCAAAAAAAATGCACCATAACATTAATATTTATTATAATTTAATATATATTATAAAAATAACTATTCACCGTCGACAAAAACGCGTGCACAGCTAGTATTCAATATATTTCGCGCTTTAAACCGTCAAAAGTGTTTTAATTAAATGTGTACTACTCGCGTGAACTAATGACAATTCTTATAGTGTTATATATTTATCTACTTAGAAAACTTATTTAAAAATACACGTTGATACACTTTAGTGATAAGAAATATGGTTTTAACCCCGTTATCACCAGTTACTTGAGAAAACATGAAGCGATACATCGTGTTAATTGCAGTTTTGGCTGTCTGTGTATATTCTAGGAGTATCCAAAACGGATTGACCGATAGTGATGGGTTAAGCCGGGTGTCCAGGCAGGTGGATGATGATTATGAAGACGAAGGTGGATACACCAGCCACGGACGGGGAAATGATCACGACTTCATAGCAAACGCTAATAATTGTCCGTCCGGAACAACGCGAACTCCCTGGGGCTCGTGTATGTCATGCTATGAGTAAGTACGATCTGTGGATATTGAATAAAAATCATTGACGCCAGCGGGACTCGAACGCACGATACACGGCGAACTGTTTCTTTGCTTATTTTGTTAACTTTTTTATGACAGAGAGTTACAGTCAAGCCTGGTTCACTTGGTGGTAGATAAAATACCCCAGCCCCAGTCGACCTACCTACCTGGCTTTCGATATTCGAAAATCCACAGACTGGAACCGAAGCGTAATTAAACTTCACGGTTTTTTTACCTGTGGCTCTTGACTCGAACGTTTCGGATGCTTTGTAGCAGCCGTGGTCACGGCTCAATAAGTTTAACTAATATATCGCGTTTTAAACCGTTAAAGTGTTTTATTTAAATGTGTACTACTCGCGTAAACTATAGACAGTATTTAAGGTCCTCCTAATGTCCCACCCATATTGCTGTGGTCCAAGCCTAGGCAGATGCCCCTCTCCGGGGCATCCTTGTTCCATCCCCGTATCCCAACATACGCATTAATCTATCAAAAGTTTTTGAGACGCACAACCATTCTGCTAAAGTAAAGTTTGTGTTTTAAACCGTTAAAATTCCAAATATACATTGAACTGGCTTGTTGCTTGGTTAGGTCCCAGAAATACTAAGTTTCGCTAAAAGACAACGAAGTTATATTGAGTCGAAAATAGCCCGAACTGGGTTACTTCTAGCACGGTTTGGCTTGACCCAGTCATGCCTCCCTAATTCTTAGATAAATAAATTGAAACCAGACCGCTTAGTATAACAAACTTTGTGTTATAATAATATTAATAATATTTTAATTGATCTTTTCAGTTACCAACAAAAGTTCGGACACACTGGAGCAAATTGTTAGGTACAAGCTATCATTAAAATAATATTAACGGTTTGAAACTTGATAGTTAATATTTTGAACCCCGACCCGATGTTTCGACCTCTTCAACATAAACTCGTGACAAGTATCATGTTTCCGTTGTTTAGTCTTATATAATCTGCGTATACTGTACACAGACTATAGATAAAAAGAAAATAAATATGTAAATAAAATTATTAATTATAATGTGTTTCATTTTTTTTTATTTATTACATAGTATTTTTTTTGCTGTAGTGTTCTGTACTACTGATGTTCGGGTATCATGTGATAGAAGAAATATAATTCTGCAATACGTGATATTATATTGCCTGAAGTCTCCTTCGATAAATAGTTTATTTAAAACGAAATACAGTCGAACCGCTACTTCCAGAGATTAGCGCGTTTAAACTAACAAACCTTTCAGCTTTATTGTTATTCCGCCAATACATGATTAGAAAAGTGCAGGCTTATGTGTTCACAGTTCATTCAAATTTTGAATACCCTCACAAAAAATGCACTGTCGACCGACCTATTTATTAGGCTTTAAACATGCGATCTTTTGTATAACATAGCTTTACATAATATATATTATGCTCAGGCAGTCCCCTAAATGGCAGTAGAGTGAAATGTGATATCCTTTGTCCTTATAGAAAAGTGGTAAACATCAGCAACATTTAACAAATATATTTTGATGAAGGATAATGTATAGACAGTATAACCATGTGAAATTATTAGAAATCATGAGTATATATGATTATATATATACTATATTTTAAACAATAAACTAACTATAATATAATAAAAACACTAGCCGTGACCACGGCTGCTGCAAAGCATCCGATCCGTCGGGTCGTAGTTAAAATAATGTTTAAATAAGTTTAACTAAAAATAGTCGCATTTTAAACCGTTAAAGTGTTTTATTTAAATGTATACTACTCGCGTAACTGTAACTGTCTACAGACAATATTGGGTATCTATATATATTTAATCCTTTACCTAAAATACTACGTTTGATATATTATGTTTGAACGCGCTAATCTCAGAAACTACTACGAATCGAAAAATCATTTTAATGTTGGATAGACTGTTTATCGAGAAAGGCTTTATTATAATTTATAAAGCTGCGACGAAGTCGCGGACACAGCTACTATATATTTGGTGTCTCACACAATTTAGATATCTATAAAAAGAGACATCTATAAAAAGTTATTTTCTCCCAAATAAAGTCTCAGACGACAACGGGCATACAAAATTGTTCAATCTTGCCATTCCAGCAAAGACGTTAATTTATAAGCGGCTAATCTTTAAGTATTTTGACCTGTGTAACCTCACACTTTTGATAAGATGTAATCTATCATATAAAGCAATTAAAATGACTTCCTACTATTCCATACAGTCCTGGTACGGTAGAGGTTGCTACGCTTGTTCAGTTGAGTCTTGGTTCCATTTTCACACATGAAACTGAAACATACAGTCCACAGACATTGTCCACAAATGAAAAAGCCGTGAAGATAAATCGAGTTGGTGCTTGTGTATCTCCGAATATCTAAAGCCGAAATAGATCTACAGCACATCTCCTTCCTCCTTCCATCAAGTGCCTGTTTCTCCTCCTCTGTCATAAAAAAAAATATACCTCGTTAGATAGACGGAACATCAGTATAAATGTTCAATTTTACAATTTATTTAGGTATTTGTTTTGCCTATCTTCAATAATAAATCAAATTAGCTTTTATACCGTCAATATGTGTATTAACCTGAGATCGAGGCATCAGAAAAATCTTTCTAACCGACTTTTAAAGGCAAGAGGCTACTCGATCCGACTGTATTTGACCTTTTATAAAACGAATTTTAAATTAAAAAATGGAAAATGGAAATTCCACAAGTGGCAATCGAATCTACGACCAACAGCACACCACATAAGGTGTATTTATTTATTTTTAAAGTATTATGAAGGACTATCTAAGATGTAATGGTCACAAGTTATAAATAATTCAAACGCAATTAATTGTCTTACAATATTTATGAGCAATTATCAGACATCCCATATCGTACAGATAAACAAACTACCAAGTATGAGTGGGATTCGCGCACGAAGGGTTTCGTTAGATATATATATGTTTCCTATTGTAATGCTTAATAATTTAAATAAAACAAATTAACGGTTTATAACGCGTAATATTTAAAAACTTTATTATTTTTTACATGTTTCATATATTGTACCTTCATGTGCAATAACATGTGAAATATGTCCTGCCCGAGTCGAAAATTTTTTCAATTTATTTTCGATTTTTTAATTATATATATTTTTTAATGTAATATAATACGCGTAATATTAGTTAAACTTGTTTGACATTTTTTTTTACTTTTATATACTACTACTTAATACTTTATGTCGCGTTTTAAACCGTTAAATTGTTTTTTTTTATGTGTCGTACTCGCGTCCTCGCAAACAGTACCTTAATAATTCCAAATGGATGTCTGACAGCGAAAAAGCCTCCTTAAATAATTTAATTATTCATATAAAACACTTTAAACAATTTAAAACTCGGAATATACTAGTTAACTTATTTAATTCATTTCCGATGCCTTCATCTTTAGTCCCCTGTGACCACGGCTATTGCAAAGCATCTAAAACGTCTGGCCATAGTAAAATTAAATTAAAAAGAAACTAACTAGTACATATCGCATTTATAACAGTTAAAAGGGTTTTATTCAAATGTGTACCGCTCGCGTAATTTTACCATCTAACGTTATTGATATCCTGCAGAAAAATGAGGTGTGGAAGCCCCCATTTCATTTTTTAATAGTTATAAAACTCTCTAGCTGCTTCTAATCACGAGATATACTTGTGACAGAGAGTTTCTTTAACCTTTTTGATACGGAACTCTAATAACATCAATTATGTATAGCAAAGATCTTGCCTTCGATTCTCTCACACAGACGTTTAAAATGTACAAGCGTATGTTCGTAATAATATTAATATCAGTGCAAACTGAATGCAGAAGTTATACCAAATATGAAAATAATAATCCCATCGGTTTAGTTGACGCGAGTGACGGTGATGAGTTGATTATTGATGAACTTAAAAATGATGATACTGGATATGACACGGCGCGTTTAAGAGGTTAGTTATTAATTTAAATAAAACACTTCTCTCAAACACGATATTTATCACTCACAAACGCGATAGTTTAGTTAAACTGATTTGAAAATGATTTTTAACTTCGGCCCGACGTTTCGGATGCTTTGCAGCAGCCGTGGTCACGGGGAGACTCGTCACGGCTGCTGCAAAGCATCCGAAATGTCGGGCCGAAGTTAAAAATCATTTTCAAATCAGTTTAACTAATATATCGCGTTTCAAACCGTTAAAGTGTTTTATTTAAATGTGTACTACTCGCGTACATTACGGACAGTATTTAATATGTCATTAAATATTGTATTTTATCTCCAGATAATGAATTGATTCGTATCAGGAGGCAAAACGATGATGACGAATTTGATGACGATGAAGGAGGCTATGTATTACTGCCTGGTAAAAAGAACGATCAAGACTTCGGTTGGAATGTGGAAAGTTGTCCTGAGGGGAAGATCAGGGCACCCTGGGGAAAGTGTGTTACGTGTGCAGAGTAAGTACTAGAGGTTAGATGACTGTGATAAAACCCGCCAACATTGTATATGGGTCTTTGGTAACTGATGCCTACTGCATGGCTCCGTTTGGCAATATTGACGTGGGGAGTGTGGTAATCTATACAACAAGTCCACCAGAACCGCTAAACGACCACCAGCCCGCTAAATTAGTCATATAACATATAAACTAGATGGGCTGTCGACCAAAATAGGGTTTGAATATTCGGAAACTCACAGACTGAAACGGAGACTTGACGGCTTTTTCATCTGTCGACGGTGGTTCATTACCCAGATGGAATTTCAATATTTCTACCACTTTAATATCCAGATTTCCAGAAGAACTCGAACATGTTTTAGAAAAAATATATTATTAGAAGCATGTTGGAACCGGTGGAGAACCCACGACCCGTTGATTCGTAGCCTTAGCTACCATTAACCCAACGAGTCGAAACATCATGTATTATGTGGGATACAGAACACTGATAAGAGATAAGCAATGAGTACAAACATATGTTTCTCTATACAGGGCAGGAGTTGTAGAATTGTATACAATTACACTTCTTTATTAAATTATCTATTGAAGATTTTAATATATGGATACTTAGTAAATGTGTATTAACAGCGAAGTTCTTAAAGATAAAAAGAAAGACTTTAACGGTTTAAAACGCGATATATATTAGTTAACTTTTTACAGCCATGTCCCAAACAGTCTGCTGCAGAGCATTCGCAACCTCTAGCCGTAGTTCAATTAAATTGGAAATCAATAATATATATCACGTTTTAAACCATTAAGAGTGTTTTAATAAATTATTCTGGAATGGCTTTAATACATGAATAAAAGTGCTATGATTAATTGCGCTATCAATGATGTTGTATATTGTATACTTTCTTTTCGCCTAACAAATTTTCTATGAGGGTATTGTGTGTTGAAGCAAATTTAACTTTTTATCCATTACAAACAAGCGCACAAAAAATCTTCACTCCAAGTCAATAATGTCTTTAGAGAACCTTATTTCCTTCTACTTACATTTACTAAATATGGCCTGAAATAATATAGAATCTAATAGAAAATACTATGTTTACTTAATTATATTTAAAAGAACCTTTGGTTTTCAGGTACATGGAAAAACTAAAAAAGAAAGGACCTGGCTGTTAACTGGACTTGAAAAATACTTTGAAGACTTGACAAACAACGGAGTTTCCGACCTCAAAGTCTTGAATAATTATTTAAATGTTTAAACTAATCGATGTAATTAATAAAACAAAGGAAATAAAATATTCTTTTTAACATTATTCTAATTTATAGTGCGTTTTCTATAAAATTTTCCACTATTCAATCATTTTAATAATCGTCAAATTAACAGGTACTATCGGAAGAAGTAAAAATGTTTCCCTGCCATATTTTCCCCATTTCCAATTCTAGGTAACTATAATTAGGTATAGCCTGTATTAGGGTATATTAATTCCTAAAATAATTAACTAAACAGGTAATTTTTCTTAATTGGAAACATAATCTTTTGAAAACAAAAATGATTTAAAAAGTCTTTTAAAATGGACGAGTAATCCGATTTCTATGCTGGCAAACATATTTCTGTGTCTGTTTTAATGATCAATTTTATTTACAGATAAATAATTGGTCAGATTTCTGTGCCCTGCATGACCGAAGCTATTAATTGTCCGGGATCGAACCTCTTATAATTAGCGCATTGCGATTACGTTTAGATAAGAAGAAATTAGATACACAAATCATTACATTTTAAATTTATATATTTTGTTGGTACGTAATACTTTAAAATAAATCAGTCCTGAAATTATTTTAAAGGGTAGACGGAAAAATATTTTGGTGAATAATTGTCTTTTCAATGAATGATTTCCAATAAAACTTACAGTTAATCACACAAAACACATCACAACTTTCTCACTATGTTAAAAATAATGTTACCAAATAACCATTAACTTTATATTTCCACTTATCCACTAAATAAAAGTTACTTTAAGTCCCTATATGCTATAGACAGCGTGTACAGCAGGTTAGAATTACGGGAGCGTTTTACGTACAAACCCCTTCGTGGTTGAAAAGCTACTGCCGCCCTTAACAATAAGACATACCTCAATCCAAATGCTTTTACTAAGTTTAACAAGTGTATTTCACATGTTAATAGAAACCTTTGTATCTAATAATTAATATTCACATGCTTGTCCACATTGTATTTTCTTTTATGAAGTTTAGATTTTTTCAGACGAAATTAAAATCACAAACACAAGCGCGAAAGTTACAGTAAGTTCTATTACAGAATATAACAATAATGCGGTTTCTTTAGCGAATTCGAGTCCCGGCCGTGTCTCATTTAATAAATGGAGTCATTTATAACTCTACAAAATTATACGCCTGCAACATTACAGCGAGCAAGTATTTATTTATAACATATTGTAAATTCGAATGGCGTAGTTCGCACCTCAGTGCATTTGCGTATAATGTTGCGGATTCGATTACTGTCTGTATTAAAAACCAATTGTCGTGAAACCTTTTATTTAACGAAAAGATTTAGACTATAAATTCAATGCTTTTATCAAAAGTACGGGGTACGATTGATGGGGATTTTAAGAAAAATAAAAAAAAATATTTTTTTTGTATAGAGACATGGGAGGTTTTTTCAATTGTATAAAACCTCCCGGCATGAAATCTTTCAATTTAATTCTGGATATATGACGTATAAGAAAAAGATTTTAAAATATCCATTTTCAGCTTTCCCCTCCATTAAATATATGCCGAAATTAAATTAGGTATCGGACCGAAAGAGATCTTAGAGAAGGAATATTAGGGTAAATTGCTGGGATATGATAAATTAGGTTATTTATCGTTCTTAAAAGCGATGTAGACATGGTATTTATTGGATAACCTACGCGCGTTAAGTAGATATTTTTAACGACTTACTAAGAATTTGATCAATTCTTCGATTAAAATAAACATGAGTTATGATCTTCTGAGGTTTTCATGAGCTAGCAATTTAAAAGGAATCTAAAAATACTTTTTCTCTTATCTTATTAAAGCTCTCATTTTTCCGCGTCATTCACTTCCAAACATTTTCATAAAATTTCTGCAATAGCTCACGTTTTAAATAATAATAATAAATTTACACCTTTATCGTTAGTTCTTTTAAAAACTGCTACTGCAAGACCAAATCCACCACTCTGGCCGCTGGGTATGACACAGTTCATTTCTCACAGGACTTTACATCATTTATTTTCATTTACTTTTAGCGTAGCTGACTACCTCTAAGTTAAATATTAGGTATTATAAAAACCACGACCGGAAATCGAACCCGGCCTCTCAAACGAAGTCAAGTAAACAGACTAACATTACTCTTAAAAGAGTGCAAGTTTATTTCCCTCTATAGGGCATAGTGTGAACACATTTCTGTGTTATGTATCATTATTTATTTATAGAAAAGTAGTTAATCAGATTTCTATTCCCTCATCGCCTGAAACAATTTATTCTTTCCCCGGAGTTTGAACCCCAGGATATCTCGTGTCTAACACAATGCGTTCAACCCTTTTTTTAGAGAAGGACAGATAAATATGTAGGTTATGGTAGGTGAAATACGCCAGCCATCTAAAGCAGATGCGCTATCGACCTATTTGAATTTGGATATTCAAATATCTACAGACTGAAACCGAAACTCGATTATACTTTGTCAAGTTTAATCGAGATAACGGAACATCGCCATAGTTCGTAATTCGGACGGAACTTCGATATTCCAACCACCCATTTGATATCCAGATTCCTAGACGAAGTCACACGTGTTTTGCAAAAAATAAAAAGGGCCTGGAAAATGATGTACCCTTACATTACCTATAATGTTGATGAACCACTACACCAACGACCCCTTCAAATTTTAAGCCCTTATAAGACAACATTAGCGTCAGTATATTCTTCGTTTTTATTTTTGTATGTCGAGTTATATTTAGAGACACATGCCTCCTAAAACGAATTTTCACTTCTACTTTTCCGATTTCTTTGTTTTTACGCGTCGAGTTGAAAATATTCACCCGAAAGCACTTTAAAAGACAACCATATTTTATAAGGCGTGAAAGATGGATTTATACGCAGTCAACGGACAAGTGGCTAAGGGTAACAACCCCATCAAAGGATATTTAAGGGGAATCCTTTGAAATTCCACACCTTCGTACGAGTGGTGAAAAAGTCGTATGGAGACTCCAAGAATTTTTATTCCGAGGGCGAACAATAGACGTTTTTGTTGGGTGCAGTGTGTGGTACGAGTACTTGAAAATAAAGATGTTTTAAACCTAACAAAGTTTTTAATGTTTCACCATACGTAAATCACAATAACAGATTTATGTATCTCTTATTTCACATCATTTATTTAAGTTATTGTTTGTCGAGAACACACTAATCTCAGGAACTAGTGGTTCGAATTTTTAAAAAATCTGTTGGGTAGAGCATTTAGCGAGGAAGCCTTTAAAACAATTCTTGTGTCTAATAGGACCGGAGAAAACCCGAAACGTTTCAGCTTTTTCATTTTTGGACGGTGGTTTGTGACTCGGAGGGAATTGTGATATACTAAGTTAAAAGTTTAACTAATATATCGCGTTTTAAACCGTTAAAGTGTTTTATTTAAATTTATATATGCTTATATAAAAATTTTGATTTTTACCCCTTTACTGTCTAGAAAGCCATTATTATATATTTTATATATCTTAGTTCAATGTAATGGATCACAAGGCTATCTCAGACATTCAGTCACGCCTTAAACATTGTAACATGCTGAAGTCATTTACAAAAATAATGGTGTGTTTTTGACAGAAATGGGCCATTATTCAACTTTATTAAATTCAGAGTTCATAGTCGAATATTATACGGATCTATCTCGCTATTCCATCTGCAATTAGTTTAACTTAATTGCAAGGGATATATTTACCAATCGAGATGAATATATAATACACTTTTAACGGTCTTAAACGATTATATATGCGAGTTTATTTTTACTACAGTTGACGTTTTGGGTGTCTTTCAGCATTTTGTGTTTTAAAATTCACTTAATATTCACCATTCACGTATAACGTATAATGATTATTATTGTATGAGATATGTTATTTGTTGTAAATATTTAAGCAATTCGGTATTCATTTTATCGCAATTAGTGTATTCTGTGTTGGTAGAATGTGTTTATACATAAATAAATAAAAAATAATTTGTATTCATTATTAAACAACAAGGAACAGTGTTGAATTCAACTTCGATTAATTACTTTTATTTTTAAAATTATATTATTCAAACGCTTCTGTGTAGTAAGTAAGCAAAATTTAAGTTTAATAATCGAAAATAAATTATACAGCCTTCATGTGCAATAACATATGAAAAATAATAAAGTTTTCAAGATTTAGGTTTTTGTTTCATAGAAAACGACTTTCGTTTTAAGTTTCCGCTTAGTGGAGCGGCTACGCCGTAGCAAATCCGCTACGGCGTAGCATTTTAATGGCATATCCCACTTGAAATTTCTTAGAACGTTCTGTATTGTTTAGCTTGAATACTTTGGTATAAGTAAAGCTCTACTACTGAGATTATATTTGACTTCTCTATAATCTAAAAATATAAGATTTCTTATGAGTCCTTTTAAACTAAACGCTAAAATTATAATTTATTTGTAAAATCATTGATCCATTTTTTTCAATCTAAGGAGTGTGTTAGTTGGGTAAGTAACAATTTAACTAGTATATTAGCGTGTTAGTCACTAGAATTAAAGAAATAAAATACAATAAATATTTCTATATGTTTCTCAGAGATTCGAATCTAGGACACCAGGAGGTAGCTATGTTGAATAAAAATATTGAATGAACTTCCAATTTTTAGTTACCCTCTGACATTTGAGAGTAAGCGTGCTTTGAACATAGTGTTTTCATTCGTGACAGTTTTCCATTGATATTTCAGTGTAGTTTTAATTAAATCAACTCGAAATCGGGTGGGTATTTTTAGGTGTTTCTCATGCTATAGACCATTAAAAATTTTAGAACAATTTTTTTATTCTGCCTAACTCTAATTGACTATCTGCTATTTCGCAACTGAGTTTTAGGTTTGAATTATTAGCATTTTTAACCAACTTAATGTCTCTTATAAGATAGTTTTCGCGCTAATTA